ATTCGCCGTCGCTTGTTGCGTTGTCGCTGCGGTTCTAGGTTAGTTATGGAGTTCAAGCGGCGAGTTAGGCCCTAATATGCTCGGTTTGTTTTCGTTCCTAATAATCCTTACGTTACTTGTGTGTGCCCAAGTGTCGGTGGGTCAAAAGATGGGTTCCGATGGGGGTTACTCTGATCTGTGTGAAATAAGTCTGGTTCGTTAGTGTCAGCACACATAGCTTGTGTGTGTGCAGGTGTTGACGTACAAGTGTGTTGAATCCCTTACCTCATTTACAGTTAGGGTTGACTTTCAGTTTGCATAGGCGAGGGAAGATAATGGGGTAGAATAGCATTGCAGCGTGTTTAGTATAGTCATTACATGACTTGCGCCCAAAGAAGATATGCACTTGTTGAGTTGCTACAGTTATTCCTTGCTTTTTGCTCATATATGTTGGTGAAATTAGTCAAAATGGGTGCTAACGTTGAGATTCTATTAGTGGGTTGTTTGGTCTCTGGTTGTTAAGATGCCTGTTGTTGATTTCTGTTCCTACATCACAGCCTTTAGCCTAACCTTGAAAAGGAAGGAGATCTAATGCGGTGGCATGTAAAGTGTTATATCTATATCAACTCTGAGGCACTTAACCACCATAAAGAATCTGGGTAGTATCATCATTGGAGTATTGTTATTTTGCTATCTTGCAGTTCAGTATTCTGAATAAGTATTTGGTTGTTCGCACATCTTGTTTTATTATTGTTCATGTATCATTGAATTGTTGCATAGAACTCCATTTCCATCCTCATGATGTAAAGTAAAATGCCATCCAAATGTAGAGCTGTTGTATGATAATATGGATTTTTTTCTTAAGGTGCGTGCTTTTGTTTTCCTCATAGAAGTGCCCTTGGAAAAAAGCTATTGTTAAGCAGATGCAAAATATTTGCCTATTTCCTCAATTTACAAGGATATGGAATACATGCTATCCTCCTAGGATGGCCAAGGAGGTGAGGACCTTCCTCTCCAGCCTAGTGCCATGAACAACGGCTGCTTTGAAAAAACCCTGTGTTTGGCAACAATTTGTAACCAATGGTACATTTCTTTGTGATAACCAAAGTATCCCTATGTTGCCTGTGTAAAAATGTTATTCGGGCAGCTACAAGCCACTGCTTGATATGCTAGAAATCGCATCACATTAACTAACTATCATAAAATCGTATGTAAATTTTCCTCTGTATGAGGTTATTTGTTCAAATGCTTCATAAATTGAGAACAAAAAGCCAATTTGATTCCCTGCATAGTGAGGTATGGATATCTATGTTTCTGACTTGGTGGAAGCCTTGTGCTTTTAAAAATGCAATAGTAATAGCATTAAACAATTGTTCTACTCTATCTATGAAGGAAAAGATATAATAGTGAAATCTGTAGATTATATGAAGGAAAAGATATAATAGTGACATCTGCAGATTCAAGAGGTACATTGTTGTGCATGGAGTAATACTTATGATTCATAACCATGTTTATGTACTTTGCAGAATTTCTTAGCACCTAATCCTTGTTGTTGCATATTAATGAAGCCTTGGTCTGCTCTTTGTCAAACTCGAAACTTGCCATGTGGCTTACTTGTTTGCCCATTTACGTCTAGAATGTTCAAAATGTTAGTGCCACACCATCCATGTATGAGTACAATGTCATTTCAGTTCTTAATTACCAGTTGAACTCATTTTGTAAACTTTAGCCCCGAATATTATTTAACTATCCATCATGAAAGATCATGTAAGCTCAATTAGTCATTCACTATATTTACAAATATAGTTTGTTTATTTTAAGCATTATCCTCTCACATTCATATTATTCCCTATGATCATAACTCATGATTGAGTGTCTCTCTTAGTCTCAAGTGTTCTTCTTGGGTAAAGAATACGTAAATCTCTCTTATTCTCAACTGCTCTTCTTAAGTAGAGAACACATAAATCAAGAGAATAATAATCAGGGCACTTAGAAGCAAGAGAATGGCATGATGTTCATTGAGGCTAATTCCTTCATTTTTGTGCCAATGGCTACAATCATCTACATTTGTGGACATACTGAAATAGTTAGATCATGCCTTTTTTACTTGTTACTTGATAGTAATTGTCTGCTTGTACTTGCACAATATAGTGTACTAAGCGCGTGGTAATTTTTGTCTTGCAGAGGCTGTAGCTGATGCCAACAAAGCAATTGAACTTGATCCTTCGATGCATAAAGCATACCTTCGGAAGGGGTCAGTCATGCATTTATTCGCTTCATCAGTTGAACATAAATTTTAGAACAAACTGCCATCTATTGCCTTTTTATTTTTGTATGACAAGAATAATTCTATGCAGCTCTGCTTGCATCAAGCTGGAGGAATACCAAACTGCAAAGGCTGCTCTTGAAGTGGGTTCTTCTTATGCATCTGGTGACTCGAGGTTTACTCGTCTGATGAAGGAGTGTGATGATCGTATTGCTGGTGAGTCAAACATTTTTAGCTCAGCAATTGCCTAATGGATATAGTGATTCTTTTTTAGGCACGCCATAATAGGAATATATGTCTTCTGTGTTTTCCCAATTTTTGAGTTATGGCGTTCTGTTAAAATCTCCCATAGCAGCATTGCATCATCATCCAGTTTTCAGGATGTGCTAACACTTCTGAAGCTGCATATGATCTTTTCAGTTGCCCTTTCTTACCCACACTTGTATTACTGGGGTGTCATTAACTTGTTATGTGTTCAGAGGAGGCTAGCCAGGTGCCAGTAAAGAATGCCGCTGCGGCTGTTGCTTCAGCTACATCTTCGGGGGCATCTTCCGGGGCTACAACTGTGGCTACTGAAGCTGAGGACCAGGATGGCGCAAATATGGAGAATGCACAGCCAACGATAGAAGTGCCAAGCAAGCCCAAATACAGGTAATTGGTGCAGAACCTATGTT